AAATGATCCCTTGCCTAAACGATCATGAAAATTTCAGATGGGATGAGAAGAAGGAATGCCACCAAGGGCAGCTTGTTGGAAGCTTGCTACTACTTAGAGACTAAAATAGTGTAATCAGCAAACACTCCGTCACTTTAATGTTTCTCCAGTGAAATCCAACATTTTGTTTCCTGCCTTAACTACTCTCTTGCATTTTCCTCAGTTCGCTCCCACACAAATACTAGAATCCATTTTAATTTTGGCACACCTCATTTTCCTATTTGGTAGAAACTAGAGTTAAGAACAGAAATTTCTATCTTGATAAATAYAATAAATTTATGAGGAATCGACACGGCCTTATAAAGCCTTCTTAACTTGTGGAAGCTCTTAGAAGAAAACATGTGCATCAAGAAGGGGCAGTTAGATTTCCAGAAGGCTTTTGCAAGGYCTTACATCAAACTTCCTGAAAGATTCTGGGCTTTCTTGTTAGGATATTAAAGAAGAAAAAGTCTACATGGGAACAAAATTAGGTAGGAAGTGATAGGAAACAAATTTCCAGAAGCTGGGAGGGTGTGAGAGGAACGTGTTACATCCCCCATGTTCTTCCACTCTTCCCAAGTCCCTGGCTCTTGCCTGARAGCAGGATAGTGGTATTGGTCTGAAATGGCACAATTATGATGTGTTATCTAATTATTTTTAATGTTTTGTCTCATTTCTGCCTTGATTTGTTTCCACACCCCCAAACACTTCCTCTGACCCAGTTTTCTGATTTTTCTGATTGCTCACAGGGCCAAGCAGCTTCCCAAGAGCTTTCTTCTGCTCTCCTGTTGATGTGCTGAGTGCCTCCATGTACTGGGAATCTGTAAAAATAGGATCCACTGGGAATTTTTAGCACTTTGAGGTAAGACAATTAATCATGGCTCTTTGCTAAATGCATCACTCAGAAATTTGTGGGGGGAWTTCTGTCTCCATAAGCATTTAGACATCATGATCTTCAAAAATACATGAGGATTTAAGAATGTTGTGTGCTAGTGAAAGACACCTCTGCAAATGTTTTCCCTGTTTACAGCTAGACACAAAATTAGGTGTTTTTTGCTTGGTTTAGAGCTCACTTCATCCCAAATGGGGAGAAAAACATTCAATTTAGAACTCTGTCATGGACTGGAAACTCTGTWTGAATTTCATGTCAAAGTCATGTTATGAAATATTTTATGACAGAGATGTCAAAATGAAATGTTTCACCACTTCTGGCCCTGAACAGGAAAGTCTCTAATGGTCATTTTTAGTTAGATTTTCTAGCCTGTCAGCCAAGGAAGCAGAGGAGAAATTGAACCTGTGGTTTTGGGTTTCTTTTTTTCCCTTGGCCACTTAAAGTACATACAGGTCTTTTTCTTCACAAGAATGTTACCAAACCCAGGTCCTCGACATCTAGAAAAGGCTTTATAGGATATTTATTTCACCCAGCAAGGATTCTTTGAGGTCTTATTTTCTTTGCAGGTAGGTCCTGCCCTGAGGGGTACTGCACAATCTGCAGGAGAGTAACCAACCTGATTTTTCTACACTCTCATGTTCATCCAGTTTAAAGGATCATCTGCATCTCCTGCRCTCTTTGCAAACCCCAGCACAGTTTGCAAACCCCTCCACAAAGGTTTTTGTAAAGAGATTCCACAGACAAATGAATTAATGATTTGACACCTACTAGTTTTTCTGTAGCTAAGATTTGGGGATTCCCTTTTTTTTTTGTGATGAAACCACTGATTTTTAGCAGTATCGTAGCTGAAATAGTGGAATTTTTCAAAAAGAAGGAAGATAGGAGAAAATTACCTAAGGAGTACCAGATACCTGATCAATTATAATTAACAGAGTGAGATGCTTGTGGAAAACCACCAGGTTGTCCTTTGGATTGAAAGACTTGCCAATTTTTCCCTAAATTGGCTTCTTTCACAACTGAAAAGAGCAATCAGGCCTGGAGAGACAAAAAGTTAAGAGTCCATGTAGGGATTGSACAGAAGACCTTTGTGCCATTTATTTTGGTGTTCAGCTCCCAAGGCTGCCAGCTCTGGGAGCRTGGCAGACACTGGAAATGTTGGTATGATTTGTCTGTAACTTCATTAAAGTTACAGGCACTGTTCCCCTCAAGGCTGGTGCTGCCTCTTGGAGAATCTGTCCCAAACACTGAATGCAAGGCAGGAATTTCCTGTGTGCTGTGGTGAGCAGTGAAAGCTGAAAGCCCAGTATGAGATGTCATTACTGGATTCTTTTTTGATGTTGGTTTTTAATATATGTGCTCCTATTTTTAGAGCTTTATTCTGACTCCTGTAATAGCAACCATTCCATTTTGGTGCGAGGGCTTTTCTATTAGCAGTGATCAAAGTGAAATATTTCAYTTGAGTTCCAAAAAGACACATGAGATAAATGAGGTTCTGCTGGATTTGGGGAGTTGGATGGTTCTGATCTTCGGTTTGACTTACAAAGTTAGGAAATTATTGGCACRAAGCAGGTCCCTTACAAATAGATAATAAAATAGCATTAACATTAAAAGTTTAAAAAACAATTTGGAACCTCTTTCTAATATACTGCAAAGAAATATTCTGTGTGCTATTAGGGTTTATAAATAATTCTCTGACGTTTGTTTGGTTTAAAAACCAGACTGAGGCATCATTTTCTAAAGAACAAATTGAGGTCCCTGAGAACTACAGAATTCAAATATGGGGCTGCTTTAGAACTCATTCTCTTTAGAGTGAGTGAGGCAGCAGGGCTCTATTCTCATTTGTTTTTATTTTTTAGGGAGTACTTTAATATAAAGGATATATAAAATTCAATATAAGGAATAGGTAAGAAGGAGTGATTTTAAGAGACTCCTCAGCATCTGGTGTATTCTAAGCAAATCTTTCTTAAAGATTTCCTGAACTCAAGGGTACTGGCTTCAGTAGTTACAAGAGAAGAAATTGGAGTGGGAAAGAAGTTTGATTTCTAGTTTGAATTAATTATTATTTACCTTTCCATTTCTGATAACTGATGGAAAGCAAATGCAGGCAATAAATTACTRGTTTAAAGGCAGGCTGCCTTTCTGCCTGTAATTAATGTAGGACAGAGCCAGGCTGCTGATGCTCTCCAGAAGTTAACAAACTGAGCACAGAACTCTGTTTAGACTTAAAGCATCTCTGAAGAATTGCACTTCCTTGAGGTYTTTCCCTGCTCTTTCTTTGACCACGTCAGTCCAGCAGAGGCGAGCTTTCCTCTGGCCCCATCTTCTTAGCCCTATAGAGGATGAAGAAAGAGAGGTAAATTACAGCCTGGAAATTCAGTGCTCAGGAAAACTTGTCCCGTGTGCTTTGGCATTAATCCAACGCTGCCCAGTGTAACAGTTACAGGCATTTTTGGGAGGGATTTGTGTTCAAGGGCTGCCACTCTGTGGAGCCTCATCCCTGGCTGGTTCACATCCATTGTCCATGCTGTGCTCAGGGGAAGGTCAGCTCTGCTCTCCCACAGCTCTGACTGTTTGAACATTGGGATTTTTGGCAGCTCAGCCCTTCCAGACACTTTTCCTCCACGCAGAAGCAGTGCCTAGGACAAGGATAGGCAATGGCTTTTCATAAACACGTGCTCGCCTCGTCAGCCCTCTGGATTTCCAGACTAAGCTTTTGCATTGTTGCTGTGGGGCTTTGGAAAAGTCCACAGGTAAAAAAAATGGTCACTCCTTGACTTAGAGCCATTTCATGGGGAACATTAGCATTAAATCATGTTAATTAACATTAATATGACTTACATGGCTTAAGACCTATCTTTGGGTTTAGCAGAGCTCTAGGAATAATTTAAAAGATGAGCTATTGCTCCCATTGGGATTTTGACTTGAATCCACTAAAGGCAATGGGTGTCCTTGAACTGGCTAAGAAGGCTTTGGGTCAGGAGGTAATTTCCAAGCAGTTTTCCTGGCTCTTCATTCTGCTTTGTGATGGCTTCTTTATGCTGGGCTGTATATCAGGGCCCTGCAGAGCAAACCTCTTAACATCCCTTTGCTGTTCTGGACCCTGAGGCAATGAGCCATGTGTTTTTTTGATGATCATATGAAGATTCAATCTATTTTTAGGGCAATCTTGTTGCCAGGAATAATTTCTAGGACTTCTGATTTGAATGGTGAATTATGTGTCCGTGTAAATGCCTGAAATGGGTATTTAAAAATACTTTTTACTGACTTAATGTTTTACAGATTAACACCTCTAATGCTGCTACAAAAAAATTAAAAAAAGCAATTTTATTTTCTCTCTACTGTGTATTTTTGACTGGTGTCATTGGAGACTTCCAGACCAACATCACAATTTTGGTTTCAAAGCCCCAAGTAGGTGTAAGTCACTACATTTAACAGATGAACAGTGAGATGATGGAGAAACCACACCCAGTGAATTTTGTACAACCTCTTTCCAGCTTCRATGCAAATATTTTTATTTCATGTTCAGTGTTCTGTGTAATGTGCCCCAATGCATTGACCTCTGTAACTCTCAGTGATTCCCCATCCAGGGCTTGAGGAGTGCATTGATTTTCCTTCCATCATGCAATAAGCACGAGCCTCACATCCAGCCCATATCGACACCTGTAAACCCCATTTAAATAAATCAAAGGGGGCATTTGGGTATTCTCCCACTTGCCTGTAGGCYGATGGAAGAATAGATTGCTTTAATACCTCAGTGATTCATTTGTCAGTACAGACAGCCTGTCATAAAAATAATCAGTATCAGAAATGTTCCTTGGAAGAATCATTGGGGCTATCAATATCTTGGGTGGCTTAATCATCAAATTCATTGGTTTTATTAGGTTTAAATGTATAAATCCCTTTTAGAATGGATTTGAACTTTTAAAGAATTTTATTGTTTAGTTTGATTGCTTTTTCAAGTATTTCAGTTTGTGAATAGCTCTAAAGTATTGGGATTTGCACAAAAGCAAGGAAGAAAAGGCCTAGAAGGATATTTGCTTCAAGATTGTCTTTAATGGCTCTACTTTCCTCTCTTTATCTAGGTACAACAATGGTGGCACATGTGCTGTTCCAGTGGATTCTGAGAGGGCTTATCCTGCCTTTTCTGYTCAAAACTACTCTGTCCCTAAATCCAGATGATCCAAATGTTTGTAGTCACTGGGAAAGGTAATGCATATCCCACCAATTCGTATTTTTTTTTCACTACCATTTCAGATTTTTACACTTAGAAGGCAAACTGAGAGCCACCATTTGCTAAACAACAGAAAAGAACATTTACTTCACAGAAATTGTATTTTTGAGTGCCTTGGAGGATTTGGATCATCCCAAAGAGTTGGTTCTAAAGCTACAGCTATTGACCATGTCCCCCTGTGTTCCCACTTTGGGAAGGTACTCCAGAGTTTGAGTGAGAGGAGTGCACTGAAGTGTTTGCATTTGTCATGGAGAGACATACAGAAATGCTGGCCTTGTTCTGCCCTGCTATTATCTGGTTGTTGTCCAGCAAGAAAGTTTGAAGCCCTTCCTGCTGCAGCATCCAGGCTGTTTTTGTCTGCCCTGAACTTCGAGGCTCTTGCTGCCAAATTTGTATCAGCATCAAAGAGTGAACAAAAGCACTGAACATGAAAGGCCCTGGAATTTCTTGTTCTCTTCATTGTTCCAGTGTCCTGGTCCTAAAAGAGGAACTGAGCAGGACAGTTCCTGTGAGCACAGAGCAGCCCACAGCCTTTGATGGGGTTCACACTCATGCAGGGGCTGTTTGCAGAGGCTGAAGGTCCTGTACTTCTCAGCTGAACTTGCTAAATTTCCAGTTCTGCTCTCTGCTGCAATTCCACACAAATCTGAATTGCTGTACACTTCAGCAAAATAAACCCCTTAACAAAGGCAAAAATAGAATCATATTTTAATGACTATGTTTTAAGGCCGTAATTAGAGAATTAACTGTTTATAGGTAATGCAAGTGCAGAGCAAAGTCTGTACAGGAAAAGGATTTTGCAGTCTGCGTGCTGGAAGTGCATTCAGAGCACAGGAATAAAATATTGATTTTGTCTGAAGAAAGTCAGCAACCTAGAGACCCAATCAAGGAGAAACAAAAATTAAATACCAAAATTGATTGGTTGTACTGACCAAGATGACTTTGTTAGTTAGATGTTAATAAATCAAAGGGAAAAGATTGTTAGGGCTATTGCTGGATAATAAACGGGATCGTAAAATAATAATTGAGATTTGCCAGTGTTACTGTCTTACATTAATAATGAGCAATGTAAATATTTTACRTTTTGGCATTAGCAGATGTAAAAGCACTATTGTCAAACCCAGCAAACAGTGACAGAGGGCAAAGCAGCATCAAGGGGAACCTTTGCTTGTCTGGAAGGGACACAAAAAGCAGGGCAGGAGCAGCCCAATCTTCGATTTCAAGCCAGTCAGTCCCTCCAAGCAAATATCTTGGTATTACCTTGTGGGTGCAATCTGCCAGGGCTTAATCACATCTGCAGTCCTGCTGATGAGAGAGAAATCAGCTGGAGAATTAAGACAATCGATCTAATGAGTGACCTAGAGGATCTAATTCCTGGGCCTTGCCCCTGCCTAGGATGATGTGAGTATTGTTCTCCAAAGATATTGCAGATCTGATAAAGTGGGGCTTGTGTCCAGAGACCTGAGACAGGGGACCCTTGAGCAGTGCACACATCTCCTGTGGGGCAGTGCTCTGACATGACTGACTCCAACGTGAGATTTGGGTTCCTGTATCACATGAGAGACACAAACAATAGTGAACATAGAACCTATTGCATACTAAGTATTGTTTCGGGAAGGAGATTACTGAATTCTTGCTATGGTTGCAGCTCAGTGATRCCTCATCAAATTGCACAATTTTTGTCCATATCCATTCACTTTTTCACCTTCTAAAATACCATGAATTTTTATAATATTTGGGGTTTTTGAAAAAGGGAATGGTTTTTTTCACACTGATATTTCTATGCCTGTATCAGTCACAGACCACAAGCTGGAAGCCTATCCAAATTTTCAGGAAGAGTTGTAGTTGAAGGAAGCCCTTTTCTGCTCTTTGACAAAGTTTCTAAAATTATTGATGTAAATGTTTCATACTGGAGTTCTATGAGCAACAAATAGAGGGAACCAAAACTTTCCATGTGACACCAAACAGCCTCTCACTTCCTTCCCTGTCCACTCCCAGCTACGCCGTGACAGTGCAGGAATCCTACGCTCATCCTTTTGACCAGATCTATTACACACGATGCACAGACATCCTGAACTGGTTCAAGTGCACCAGGCACAGGTAAGAGCTTGAGTTTCATTCCACCTTTTAATTTCCTCCCACGCCTCTTACTTATCCAAATGTTTATGGTGCTCCAATACAGATATGTACACAAAGATGTGTTTTAGGACAGGGTATTTGGAATTCCAGGGGATGGATGAAAGCATAGAGGTTTTTGACTGAAGTTTGAGTGAGACCAATGGTAATCAGTCCCTCATAGGGCCATCCAGGAGAATGAATCCTTCCACTGGCCCTGCCACGGGATTGGAACTGTTTATTTCCTGCTCAAATGTAACCAGCTCTCTTCTCCAAGTGATTGGTGCATGTCCAGTTTGTGGTAGGAAGTCCATGCACCTCCTAAATCTGAAGAATCAAGCATTTGAGAGTTAGTGGTAATTAAAACTGGATCCATATTTGAAATACTTCCCCCAAATCTGTGCTAAATTGGGTAAAATGAGGATGGGTCCATTTTTAGCATTGAATGAAAACTGATGCCAAAGAGTTAATTTTTCTCAGGCTGCAGGATATGCTGTTCTATTCATTCTGATCCAAAGTATCCTAATAAATATCCACTAATATTCACAATCTTTCAAGAGTTTTAGAAGCCCATTTGTATTGCAAGTCTCATGCATTGAGTTGCAAATAGGCTGCYTAGCACCATCCCAGTGTGACTGTGGGACTTGACTTTTCAGCTCCTGTGTTGCAAYGTTTGGAAGCAAACAGAGCTGCAGAGCTTTCTGGAATATTGTATAGATTGGAATGCAGCAGGGTAAATTCGATCAGTTTATCAAACGTGAGGGACAATAGATTTTGTTCAATTTAGGTAATTTCCATAAATTACAAAGCTGTTTTGAAATGTTTGCTGTTAATATACAGTTAAATATTACCTTTGTAATTTGATATCCTTGCTACTGATATGAAAAAGTGTAGGAACGCTACAGGATGCTGAACACCTTTTAATTTCTGTGTATTACTGTGGTGGAGAAAACAGGCTTTAAATACTGAACTGGGACTGTAATGTCACTTTGCAAGGCATGAGTTCGTTGGAAGGGTTAGCAAGCAGGAACAATTCACTTGGGGTTAACTCTCAAGTTGTGTATTGAGAGCAGCTCCCACTGTGGGAGTTTTTGTGTAGCAGCTGACACAGTGGGCCCTGCAGAAGATTCTGTTCTTCCATTGATGAGAGCTGACCTTGCTGATGTGAAAAAATAAATCATTCATTCTTGAAGAAACTCCTTGCCCTTGCAGTAGGACTGGGAAAACATTTTRAGACAGCAGCTGCCCCAGGAAGAGCTCCAGTGACTGGATGTCAGGAGCACTGTGTTTATAACACAAGTCATATTTCCAGCTTCAAAACAAGTATCGATTYCTTCCTTATTGTGCCTTTTATTATCAAAAGCTTTCATGCATTTAAAAATAATTATTGAATGCTACCCTTACCATAATTTAACACAAACACCACTCCAGCAGGAGGCATTGATTTCCAATAGTGTCCAATGGTTTTGTGTCTTGTGGTGCAGGATCAGCTACAAAACCGCCTATCGCAGGGGGCTGCGGACGATGTATCGGCGACGCTCCCAGTGCTGCCCCGGCTACTACGAGAGCGGGGACTACTGCATACGTATGTACATGTGGCACATAGCACAGTTAAAAGTAGTTTTTGGGGCAGATTAAAGATGTGTTGCATTAGGGCTGATTGTCAGAGCCTGCAGATTGCACTGATCGCAGGCAGAATTTCAGATACAGAACATTTCAGGTTGCTTCAGGTATGTGTGTCTCAAGTAACGAGGTAGAATTTGGCTGAAATCATTGGGGAGGGAGTTAATGAAKTTCCTTAGTGCTTTCTGGAATCAGAGCTTACTTTGGGGAGTAATTAATGCAAGTATTCACTAATGGTAAGGAATTAGGGGAACTGAAAACGCTCAGGAATAAGCTATCACATAATTTAAGCAGCAGTGTAAAGTTTCTGCCTCTTACCTTTGAAAGTTCTTACTTCAAGAGTTAAATGGGTTAAAATCTCATTCTTTTTTCACATAGTTCCTGTCAGCAATTAAACTTTTTTAAGCTTCTCAAATGTCAGAAGAACTTACTCCCAGCTGYACTGTGTAAATAAATACAGAGCTCTGGAGTGTTTTAGGTCAATATGAGGGGGGACAAAAATCCAAATGCATCTTTCAGTAATGCCTAAGTGCTTTGTTAATTAAAAATGTCCTGTACCTTAGTGTCACATGTTTTGAGTATTGCAGCTCTAAGTGTTCTTCATGTACTCAAAAGGAGAGTGGAGCAGGATCTCTTGTCTAGGTCTTGTGTCATGGGATTATGACACAAGAAAAGCACAAAGAGGGTTTGATCAGCATCAGAATCCAAATTGTATTAACAGGTTTAGAATGCCACAGAGTAAATGTGAAAATGATACGTTTATCTAGGTAATTTCAAATGCCTTGATACTGTGCTTTGCAGCTATTTYCTTCCAGCTCTGTTGATGTTTTTATCTGAGTTCTTGTGTTGGACTCATATTGTAATACATGTGCAGCAGCTGAAAACCACGACTGGACCCTGATCTCATTTTCAATGACCTTTACGCCAAACAGTTACATTAAAGGGCCTCTGGACTGTGAAAAATCACCAGCCCTTTGAGATAAGGCATTAGAATTATTTTATAGAAAGTGTAATAATTTGATCTTTTGAAGTGCAAAATGCTCCTACTCAAGTCCTGRAAAACATTTATTGCAACCTGTTGTCTTTGCTGAAATCCTTCCTGTGGTAAGTATGTACCTACTTCAAATATCGCAGGTGTCAATACCATGTCAGCAGTTGTTCCACACACTTTTATTAAAGTCCTGAATTTCATGACTCAGAATCCTGTCTGGCACAGAGCATATTTATTATCACTTTTGTCCCTGCAATCTATTGATTTTTCAAATTTTTTTTTTAATAAAAAATGCCATACTGTCGCAACAATAAYTCTCTCCAGACTTTCTGATTCTTTGAGGACATTAACATTTGTTTTAAAGTGGTTTGTGGGTTTTTTGTTGTTTGCATTAGTACTCACTKCTCTGCTGCTGCCAGGCAAATTTTCTCTTTCTGTGGTGGAGAAAGAACAGCATACACTGAAACGTTGCTAATGCAGAGCAGGCAGCAGGTATCTGCTCAGCCCGAGAGCCTCGTGTTTGACACAGAGCAGATAATACACTCTCTCTGCTGTTTACATGTGCAGGAGTCAGGTTCTTGTATTTCATTATCAGTCTGRTGAGTGCTCAGGGACATCTGCTGTCCATCCTTCCTGGAGATCCACTGCAGGAGCAGCCAGGAGGGAGAAGATGTCAGGGAAAAAGTTCTCCATCATGATGGATTCCAGATGCTTGGTCTTTTTGTTTTGCTGCCACAAGTAGCCACATAGAAAAAAAAACAAAAAACAAAAAACAACAAACCAAACAGAAAACCACCTTGAAACTCTGTAAGCCCTCAAGCAACAGTTTGGAGGCACAATATTCAGCTAATGGGATCTTTTTCGTGTCACCCCTTTTGTTTGTAACACATCAAGCCCTGATCCCATTTGTTTTGTTTTGTTTTTCCACAATATGTTCCTGTGCCAACAAGCAAATTCTCTCATTCATCATTCTTTGCAGTCAGCAGTGAATTCCATTTTCATTCCTGGAGGCACTTCTCTGCTTTTGCCTTTTTCCATCCCATTTCTCACTTCTCTCTAAACTGGTATTTCTTTGCTGTTTCCTAACGAGGTAGTCCAGCACTCCTGTCCCACATTCCTCTAAGCACATTCAGTGATGATCCTTTAATGACAGCTGCTCCAAGAGAGGTCAGGACTCAAAATTCCACTTTCCTGAGCTGTCCCTGGCAGGAAAGGAGGGAAGCTCCAGCCCTGCAGTGAAGGTTCTCCCCACTCAGCCAGCCCTTTAAAAACTATTCCATTAGCAATCATGGAACCACTACAACATGGGGAGGGGGGATACATCCTGCAGTGAGTCTGATGATCAAAAGAAAGTTTGATTAAAAAACAGTGTGTAGATTAAAGGCTAATTGGTTCTTCTTTCATTAATAGCAGTCTTTATTTCTTGCAAAAGTTAAATAGCTTTGTAATTAACAGTGACATGTTTAGACTAGAGAGGGCTGAGTTTAAATCTCTATTAATGACTGTTTCTTGGATTTTAAAGCAGAAGTGAAGGCTTTCAGCTACTGTTTTGATCTTTTCCCTGCTCATTTACTAATTTTTAAAGGAATGTCAGATATATGGTTTTATCTTTGTCCTTCTTTTGGGGCTTACTAAATAGATCAAGTATAATAAAATCTACTCTCGGTTCTAAATAATCATGTTGGTTCAGACCTTCTTGCTCTGCCACTTTTCTGGTGCCTTCTTTGCCTTTTTGATATCTCTATGTGCTGCTGCCCCATAAAATTCAGACACAAGGTCTAATAATTTAAAAGGTTGACTGGTAAGTTCTACATGGYCAGCCCATTAGTACTTAGGCTAAACAGTTTTGGGGTATGAAATTGTCTTTGTGCCTCAAAGGGCTTGAAATATTTTTGGGTTGCAATGATCTGCAAAAAATACCCTCTGAAAAATGCTGCAAACGCACATCTGCATTTATTTTTTTGCCCTCACAGATATTTTAGAAAAGGTTGTTGCCATTGTGGGAGCTTTGCAAAACGATTCCCCTTCTCTGAATGTTCTTACACTTGACAGAGCTTTTCCCTGAGCTGTCCCTGAAAACAAACAGCACAGTCTGGGCAGTAAATCAGAGCAGCTATGATTTACTGTACTTTGTATGCTAAGGTAAGCTTTTGGCAGAGCAAATGCATAAACTGCAGAAAATCTTTTTTTAAACAACCACAGGGTTCAACTGCCCTTCAAGGTTTTTGTAAGGATGTTTTAAAATTATATTGCTTAGATTAGTATCTGTGGTAGATAAAGCAGCTCTGAATACTTTGCCGCTCGAAAAAAAAAAAAGTAAAAGAATATTACATGGCTCTTTTGTGCTCTTTAGCCTGTGAGGAGATGGTAATTGAATAGTTCCCTTTAAGAATATGTCAGGTGGAAAGATGCCCTGTGTGCTAAATGGATGCATTTTTGTCTGAGAGACCAACGCTTTGTTCGCTCTGTCCATTTTAATCTTATTCTTGCACAACAGATTCGTACAGAGGAGACACTTCTTGTGGGGAACAAAGGGTCAGAGACCTGACATCAGAGGCAAGGCAGAGGGGACTCTGAGYAGCAGCTACTGCCAGCTGACTTTCGGGCAGAAAAGCACCAACCATGAAACAAAAAGTTGGGAATTCACCTTTTCTTCACAGACTGAGCTGAGCTTTTAAGTGTTTTCTTCCTTACACTCTTTTTCTAATGTCTAAATCTATGCAATGTGACAGGATGTAATAATGACAGGATTAGTGATTTAACAATCTGATTTGCTGCCATTTATCTGTCTTTCAAACCTGCCAAAATTCAGTAGAGTTATAGATTGACCATTTCATGGTTCTTTCCTTTCTTGGCCAAGATATTATTGATCTCAGATTGTTTCTTAACATTCACCTTTCCACATTACAATTGTCACAAGCATCAGCAGGGCTCCTGRCTTTGACAAATCTTTTTCTAGAGGAATGGTTGGTCTCACTGGTTGAATCTCAGTTTTTTACCTGCAGTGGTATTTCCCTCAGGCCAAAGGTTGGGGACATTACTGTATTTATTGTATTTGTTTACCCTTCTTTTCAACTCACCTTTGTTTGATGCCTTATATGAATTTCTAAAACAAATGAGGGATGTTCCTGTAATAGCTGACTTGGGGAGTTTAAATAACATTTCRTGAACTCTGTAATTCCAATAGCCATGCCAACTTCCCAGTGTGATGTGTGCATTTACGGTGCAGCCATAGGAACATTCCTACCTCAGGACTGCATCCTCATTTCCAAGGCTGTGTGTCTGGTGCAGTTTTTGTATTCTTTGACAAGGCTGCCTTATTGGAGCCATATGGTTGGATTGTTAAACATCTGTACCATAGGAGTAACAATTCCAGAGCTTCCTGCCATCTGGATGAATTACAGTCCCTGCAATTCCACGCATATGTTCCAGCAGCACACCGACACTGCAGTCGAGTGTCCTCATCATGAGAAGAAAAAGGAATGGCTTGTGTGATCAGTGCAAAAGTTGTACACTCTTAGAAAACGTTGAATCAGCGGCTTGAACTTCCTGAATATTCATAATGTTTGTTCATACGTCAGATTTGTTGATTTTTTTTCACTTTATAAGGCAGTATCTCATTAGCATTTTAGAAGAAATGTTGCCCCCCCTTTCTCACCTTAATTTTAAATTCCTTGTGGTGAGCATTCCTGTAGCTTGAAAATATATTGTTTGAAAGCTGCTGGACTTTTCAAATACATTCTTCTTATCTTTACAGACACACATTAAAGCYGGTGCTGGTGCTTTCTGTGAGAGCCTTACTGTTTCATTATTCAAGTACAGAGTTCTGTACATCAATAATGCAACCTAAATTAGGGGAAATGCTATAGTGGGACATAGATACTTCCTATCAGGGGACATTCTTTTTCTCTGTCTGATTTGGGATGTGTGAGAGCGAGAAAATGGTGTGGAAGGCCTGTCTGCATATAGTT